TAATATATCAGTATTCATTTATAAACTGTGACATATGTACCATACTCATGTCACATAACTACAGGGGAAACTGGGTGTGGGGTATATGGGAACTCTGTGAAATCAACTTTCTTTCCCGTAGATCTAAAACTGTTCTAAAATAAAAAGGTTCTTTTAAATACGACACATTAAGATGTGAAATTCTAACAGATGGAAACACCTTTGTAAAGGGCTTATTAAAATTAAGCATAAATGTCTCTTTAAAATGCTTCATATTAATATAACCTTGACACTGGTATATTTTCACGATTGATACCATGTTTTTTGCCGTGTTTTTAGCCAGGGCAAGTGCTTGTTGAACATTTTTAGTGTAGACAAGAGCTGAATTTGAAGCTGTTAATGAAATTCCTGATATGCCACATTCTCAGAATCTGCACATGGCCAGCATTATCAAAGAGCTAATGGAAGAAGCATAACCTTGCCCATGTGCTTAGGAAGAATTAAGAACATATATAAAAAGTCACTTCCTTTCCCCTCAGACTCGGAAAGAAGGAGGGTGGCTGGACTCCACGGGGGATGGGCTACAGTCAAAGGCATCTTACTCAGAACCCAGTTCATCGTGAGCTCAGGCAGACATCCCCCTCAGGCACTGTCCTGTTGTTCCAGCAGCTCCATTTCAGTTAAATGTGATTCCTGTGTCCTGAGGGGTGACCCATGCAATCCCGTGGACAGAGGGGTGGCTCGTTACCAATGACTCATCTCAGCAGAGTGTACATGAGTGGAATGTGCAATTCCTGGAAACACTGGGTTATATTGGAATGGAGCAAGGAGCAAGGAGCGAGGAGCAAATCTTATAGTTTGGAAGGATCCCCTCAATGTAGTCCGCTGAGTAATTTATGGTAAGTTTTGCTTACAAGTACTAGTAAGGAAACTGATAACTAAGATGGTCCTTGCAGGGTCAGAGCGTTATAATTAAGAGTCATAACAGAAAGAGTACTGAGGGGCAGTTCTGGTGGGGGCGGCCTCCCCAGGATAACATGCCTCTCACTAGGCCCTCCTTCACCCCCTTCCAGAAGAGGAGCAGAGGGAACGCCAGAAGCACCTGGTGCAGAGCCCCAGTTCCCACTTCATGCCTGTGACACACCCAGGACGCTATAAAACCACCACTTGTTGGCCCTGTACAAAAGGCTGTTTCCTGTGTAGGCTGCTCACTGTCCTCTGTCGGTCAACAGGAGGAAAAGCAAGGCTGACAGAAGGATGCTCTTTCAGAAGCAAGCAGCACTGAAAGCACTCCGAATCAAGATGAGTAGGGAACCAGCCCAAGGAACACATTTTGGATAAAAAATAAAGTACTTAAGGGCAAAACTGTTGCCGTGCCAAGCAAGTAGCTCGAAATAATGTTCCCCCCTGATCTTGCTATGTTGGAATCTCTCAGATTTTTTCCATCATTGTTTTACACTCTCACTATGTGACCTTGAACACATTCCTTAGCCTCTCTCTCTCTCTCTTTCTCTCTCTCTCTCTCTCTCTCTCTCTCTCTCTCTCTCTTTTATCTTCACAATGGGGAATATTAATAGTACCTATTTCTTGGCAGTGTTATATGAGTTCATCAAAGTAATGTTTACAACACTTTTAGAAAAGTGCCTAGAATATGGTGTTAACAAAAGTGTTTGTTTAATAAATTAATAAATGAATAAATAAGGTAGCCCTTGCTCACACTGAAGTCATTCAATGCAACAATAGACCTCTTGATGATATCGCATGGCAAAAACACAGAAAATAATGCTCAGGGAGGGAGCCTCAGGCATGGCAGGACATTGAAGGAGAAGAAGAAACAGAAAGTTTTCATGAGAAATAAAAGTGAAGGTGATGGGAAACTCCCATATTATTGGAGGAAATGTAAAATGACGCAGCCCTTTCGAAAACAGTTTAGCAGTACCTCAAAAAGTTAAACACAGAGTTACCATATGACCCAGCAATTCCACTCTTAGGTCTATACCCCAAAGAATTGAAAGCAGGTACTCAATAACCAAAAGATGGAAACAACCAAATGTTCATCAGCTTATGAGTGAATAAACAAATGTGGCCTATCCGTATAATAGACTATTATTCCGTCACACAAGAGAACAAAGTGCTGATAAATGGTGCAATGGGGATGAACCTGGGGAACATTATACTGAGTGAAAGAAACCAGACACAAAAGGTCCCACGTCCCACGATTCTACTCATAGGGACTATCCAGCATTGGTAAACTCATAGCCACTGAAGGCAGGTTGGTGGCTGTTCAGAGCTGGGTAATTGGGGAGTAACTGCTTAATGGGTGGAGGGTTTTCTTTCCTGGTGGTAAACATGTTTGAAACTAGAGAGTGGCAGTGGTTGCACAAGTTTGTGAATGTACTAAATGCCATTGAATTGTTCAGTTTATAAGGGTTCATTTTATGTTTTGTAAGTCTTACATCATAAAAAATCATACATACGTAAGTGGGACCAGAGTGAGTGCTGTGTTTGTCCTAGTTGAGAATACAGAACATTCCAGACTCCTCTTCCACTCACCAGAAACCTTTTTTGAGAAAGTTACCTAATGGGCATTCCTTCTGGGCCCTGGTTTCCATATCTGTAAGAAAATGAAAGTGGACTAGGTGATTATGAGGAGCCCTTTCATTTCAAATTCTAAGGCAGAGAAATTCAACACCTCTCTTTCCTCCCTGTCTCATCCACATGCTTGGAAACAACTGCATCTGTATTGCAGATGTATACTGGAAGACAATGAATGTTGCTATAATTAAATTACAGGGAAATTAATTTGTGTTAGTTATTCGTTGTAATATTAGTTATTACAATGACACAAATTAATGGGCAAATAACTGAAACAAATGCACGTTAGCAATTAGCTTGGAGTTTGCCACTGTGATACTTAGGCTCGGAGCCCGTGCACGGCTCCAGACTGTCTGTGCCCTCCATGTAAGCACACACTGTGCTTTTGCCAGTCACAGTGTCTCAAGCTCTCCAGCCAACTGCAGTGCTGGCAGAATCACGTTGATTTGGAGGCCCTTGATTGATTAATCGATGCCCTTGCCAAGCAGGATGGTGACGAGGGATTAAATACCCTTCTGAATGGCCCACTCTTTGCAGCCAAGTAATCTAGAACAGCTCGAGGCCATCAGTCATTAGAACATGCCATAGACCACTGCTCTAATTACAACTAGACTAGTTAGAGCTTTACTCTAAAATTATTGAAATGTTATTTGAATAGTAAGCCAAATTTACCCAGTCCTGGGACCTAAAGTCTGGGAGGTGGGTATGTAATTGTCTGCATAGTACCCATCACAGCATGAGTCCACAAGTTGTTGAGGACAGGCCATTGTGAACATCACTAATTCATGGAGTTGCTAGGAGTCAGAGCCGTCTCAATGGCGCATGGCACACACACCTCCACCACCTGCTACTGCAGGTTACCGGTCTTCTGTAAATTCCTTCCTAATGATTCCTAGGAGTCTCAGGTGCATCTACATAGACTTCAGCTGGAAGCATTTCAGCCTTCTACCAAGGTTTATTAGTCACCTCCCCACCCCTTAAATTCTGGTTTCTTCAGGGATATCTACTTTGGAGGTCTACAATAGTCCCCAAAGCTGCACCAACCAGAAGCCACAGTCTATCCAGGCCCACATTATTAGACAACTATTGGCTGCTAATTTCAGGAGGTCCAAGCATGTGGGCTCCAGGCCTCATGGAGCAGCTGAGAGAATTTAGACAGTGCCTAGAGGCTGGCCAAGTCAAGCCTCCTGAAAGGTCATACCAATGGTGCCAATAACTTACCCTCTTGGCTGAGAGCCTCTCTCAATATAACTGGAAGTTCCACCAGTTTCCCATGGACTACTCTTCTTGAACGTTCCTTCTATCTACTTCTTTCCATCACGGAGCAGCAGCGTCCCTTTCCTCTTCCACTCTTCGTTGTTGGCCTGGACTTCATTCCGTTCCTCCTTTCATATTTCTCCTCTCACATGCAGAGAGGAGAAGGCTATAGGAAGGAGAATAAAAGTGAAAAAGCTGGAGGGGATTGTGTACAAATTAAGCAATGCCTGTAAACCCTGTACATCCTTCTATTCAACTTAGATGAAGAACCTGAGTGCAAATGAATGTAAAATTAAAAATATGAAAATAGCTTTGCATCCAGCTTATGAATCTTGTTTTCCTGATTTCAATCTCTGGTGTTCATTAGGAAATAAATAAGATAAAAAACCCATAAAGCAGTCAGCTTATCTTTGGGTAACTAAAAACTCTTCTGGTGATATTCCTCCCTCCCTTCCTGTAGGGGAAGAGAGATGAGAACATAGTCTATCTTTTGGGCGATATACCTGAACTGGCTGTTACACAAGCATGTGATTAATTTTGAAGGCTGACTTTCAGAACACCATATTTGAGTAAACTTGAAAGATAAGTCAATGAAAACATCCAGCAAAGCAAAATAGGTATTTTCCCCTTTCAATCAGATATCAGATATGACCCAGCATTTCTTCATTGTGCATTGAACACAGAGGGTCTTGAATACAGTAGAGGTTAGAGAAATGTTTGTTAATTTTAGTTAAAATGGAATTTCTCTCAGTCGCTCGGTGGCTTGAACTTACTGACTTGAGGAAAAGGGAATAAGGAAAGGCATCATGATGGTAAAGCTAGAAAGAGATCATTACTGAACATACAGATAATTTGTTCCTGGGTTTATTACTTTGTTCAAAAGCCTGTGAGGTGAGCAGCCAGAACGTGGCAGTAAACTGTGCTATTAATTCCATTTATATTTTCAGAGCTGGGAGTCAGGTTTTCAAGTTTGTTCTTGGACTTTATGCAAAACATATGCAAATCTATAGCATTCTAAAATCCCGTCTCTTTGCCAGCCCCTCCCCTAGTCACAAACAGCCAGGGCTGCGGAGTGGTGGACCCCGCGGGGGTGGTGGGCGGGAATGGGGGGGAGTGGGGGAAGGGCTGTCCGCGAGGCGGTCCAGGGGCGGAGCCTGGGCGGGGCCGGTGACGCGCCGAGTTGGCCGGCTGCGGGGCTGGACCTCAGCCTTTCCCCGCCTGGGGCCGCCGCCGCACCATTGGTTGCTCCGCGTCTCCAAAAGGGGCCCTTGGACTCCTCACTGGGTCAGTCTGGTGCTGGGTCGTGGAGCTCACCACAACTCCCGCTGGTCCGGAACTGGATCCCTTCTTCCCAGAGTTGCGGGCAACTTTCCCGTCTCCCTGGCGCTGCAGTGGCTCCGGGACCGGGGCAGCCGCTGGTAGCTGAACCCAGGGCCACGCTACCCGCGCCCCGGCTGAGCGCGCGCGTTGGTCTCTCTCTCTCGGTGCACGCTGGGGGTCCCGGAGCTCCGCTCTGCCGGGGAGATGCCTCTGGGACACATCATGAGGCTGGATCTGGAGAAAATCGCCCTGGAGTACATCGTGCCCTGTCTGCACGAAGTCGGCTTCTGCTACCTGGACAACTTCCTTGGCGAGGTGGTGGGCGACTGCGTCCTGGAGCGCGTCAAGCAGCTGCACAGCAACGGAGTCCTGCGGGACGGCCAGCTGGCCGGGCCGCGCGCAGGCGTCTCCAAGCGCCACCTGAGGGGCGACCAGATCACGTGGATCGGGGGCAATGAGGAGGGCTGCGAAGCCATCAGCTTTCTCCTGTCCCTCATCGACAGGCTGGTCCTGTACTGCGGGAGCCGGCTGGGCAAATACTACGTCAAGGAGCGGTCCAAGGTAGGACGCGCGCGGGCGCCCCACCGCTGCTGCAGCCCGCAGGGACCGGAGACATGCGGAGTCTGTTGTCTGTCGCCTTCGCAGGGCTACAAGCGAACTTTAGGTGTTAACCAAGAAGCAAGAAAGAAGTCAGTCTGGTCTTCCCATCCCCCAGGGAAAATCCATGCTAAGGGACTTAGGTGTATCATTATAATGACCTTCTGATAACTTTGAAATAATGGCTCTGGTGGGTGGTACAAGCCGGACAAGCTGTGGCTTTTTGGTCTGATTTTAAGACGTGGAGTTCTCAAAAGTCCATACGAGGGACAGGTTGTTAGAAAGATTGTGTATGATCCGAGACACACATGAACTCATGATCTTAACTGTCTACTTTAAAGTCACCTAATATTTGCCCTTCATTGATTTCAAAGGGGATTCCCATGACCGAACTTTTAAAGAATGCTGGAGACAGCTGTGATTTTGCAATGTGGCATTTGGTTTGTGGAGTTTGGCAGGTGTGGGAAGAGTTTGCCCTGTGAAAGAGTAAAGCTCCTCTTCACTTTTGAGTGCTGCCCTTGGCTTGTTGCACTCAGGACACTTAGATCATCTGTTTGACTGAAAATTCTCTCCTGGTGCTGAGCCCACACCACCACCTTCCCTTTCCTAACTTTCAGTTGATGGGGAAATCTACTCAAAACCACCGGTTATGCCCTAACCGGTGTGGCTCAGTGGCTAAGAGCGTGGACCTGCGGACTGAAGGGTCCCAGGTTCCATTCTGGTCAAGGGCATGTACCTTGGTTGCGGGGAACATCCCCAGTAGGGGGTGTGCAGGAGGCAGCTGATTGATGTTTCTAACTCTCTATCCCTCTCCCTTTCTCTCTGTAAAAAATCAATAAAATATATATATTTTTAAAAATACACCGGTTATGTGATCAGAATAGGGTAGTCAAGTACCTCTGGAAAGAAATTATGTTTTCGTTCACAGCCAGAAGTGACTCCCTGGGTAGAAATTTATCTTGGAAACATTGAGAGGTAGGTTGGCAGAAATGTGGGAACATGTCGTGCCATGTACATTCATTTGGGATAGTCTAGCCACTCAGTCTTTTCTACAGATGACAATCCAGCCTGCTTTCCAGTGGCAGTTCTGAGGGTGATTAGCATTTCTTTTATTGTGGACTGGTCAAGGGGCGCTCAGAACTGTAGGAAACTTGCACTTTAACACAGCGAGGCTACACATACTAGCGTGAGAAGGAAGGTGAACATTCACCTCTGTACCATTCTTTAACCACATGGGTAGTATTTCTCAATTTAAGATTCATCCTCTGATAACATACTTTGTAGTCTCATTTATTCCATAAGCTGAGAGGAGCACTCTTAATATAGTGCAAGTAGTGAAGATTGGAAATGTATAGAAATGAAGGGGTTGGAGTGGGTGAATGGAGTAGAGGAGAAGTAGATTGCTTTCAAACTAGGGGGACATGAATAGAATATCAGAAGGCATTGTTATTAATCTGACACAAAAAGTAAATCTTAGAAGAAAATGCTGCTTTCTAACTTTTACTTTGATTTGGGGAAAATTCAGAGTTAGCAGGAATCAGTAGAAGATTGATGTTATTGTTTCTCTACTCTTCCATCATTTGGGTGGTGGATGAGAAAGTTGTTTGTCTTGATCAGTCTTATATTTGCACCTTGCCCGTCTGGGGCCCGTTGGGGAGGGGAGGGGAGGGAAATGGCTAGCCTCAGTATTTCAGAGGTGCTTGTAGCTTCAACTTGGAAGAGCAGATGGCTCCTTACCAGTTTTTAAAACTTTCTTTTAAACTTAGGCTGAGGAATCCTCCCCTCCCCCTACCTCCCTTGGCATTCTAGGAACAGAATTCGCTTTGAAGGAGGTCAGAATTAATTGGCAGAAAGAGGTCACTAACATGTTTGAATGTTAAGTATTTTTATTTAGCTTTGACTTAATGAACAGTGGTAGGGTTTTAGGCTAGAATTTAACTCCACAAAGGGAATGAAAACCACTGTGTATGTCTGGCTAAGGACAACAAGATTTATAGATATGATTTTTCAATTATGGATTATCTTCTGGGTAGAACAAATAACTTTTCAGTTAACCCTTTCAGTTAACAGAACATGACTGTGAATTGAAAAGAGGAGATACATCTGTTGTCCATGGAAGAGACATCTGTCTGCCCATACCTAGAGGTCCAACTCTCCTTTGGCTATTTTGGCACAAAACTCTTCACTCCTTCCCTTTAGAAAAATCACCTCTAGATTGGGATATTCCCGACCAATGAGAACCAAATGCAAACCAGGTTTGAGCAAACAGTTGTTATAGTAAATTTTTTTTTAAAGTTTGATTTGCTTGTATAAAGAAGTCTCTTTAGTAATGTCTGTGGCCTTGGGTCTCTTGTTTGAAGTTCATTATTAAAGCATTGTAGAAAAACACATTGCATTTCTACATGACTTACATTCGTTTCACCTTAATTTAACTTATTTACTTCTCTTCCTTCAACTGAGTACCTTACCTTTCTGCTTCCCAGACTAATGATATAGACCCACTTTTTTCATACCCAGTTTTAGAAAAACTGAATTTTTAAAAAGCAGAACATGTAAATTTATTTTAAAATTTTATTTGTAACTTTTTATGAAAAATTTCAAACATATTAATTTAGGGAGGCTGGTATAATGAACTCCCATCCCCCATTTTCAACATTTGCCAATGCATACATTTATTTTAGACCAATTCTTTTTCAGGTACTTTAAATTTCTGTGCTTATTAGTGTATTGACTCTAATTAAGTACTTTTTCCCCTGGATTTTTAAAGGTCATTGAATAATGTATTAATGCCCTTTATCTCAATGAAGCAATAGCAAAGGCATTGGTAATAAAATGGGAATATATACTGGAATTGAAATGGAAATTGTGGAAGAATATGGAAATAAATATTCAAGGGTTCCCTCTTCCCTGCCAAAAAGGTTATTACAGGTCAGAATTTATCTACCTCCACTTTGTTGGAGAAAAGTCCTAGGGTGGTGAAGACTCTGGGGCAGTGTTTTCCTATAATGTAGTACAGCAGTATGGCGCCCCCTAACTTCAAGCATGATCATTGCTTTCAGGCTATCAAAAGATTTATCTGTTACTTCCTTTTGGAGATTTTAGACTATATCCAAGATAAATATTGGTTATAAATTGCTCCTTTTGTTTTGGCTGCCTAGAAATGGCTGTTTTCCAGTGAACATGTAACTTATAGAACCGAATGTTCTGCTTGAAGCATCTCATTATAGACTCACTAGTGAGTAACTAATAACTACATTTTAATGAGCAGTTTGCTCTGTCTGGCATTGTACTAATAAGCACTTTAAAAACACTGTCTGTCTGACTTAGTCTTCAAAACCACAATCTTCAGCAAATTGAGTGATTAAATCATTTACCAAAGGTCACAAAGTCAGTGGTAAGAAGCAGTGTATCATAAAAGTTAGGACAAACTCACAGATACAGACAATAGCATGGGAATTACCAGAGAGGAAGGGGATTAGGAGGAGGTAGAAGAGGGTACAGGAAGGAGATTTGACTTGGGGTGGTAAACAGCACAATTTACAGATGATGCATTACAGAACTGTACACCTGAAACCTATATAATTTTATTAACCAATGTCACCCCAATAAAGTTAATAAAAAATTAAAATAAAATAAAAGTTAGGAGCTTATGCCGGGGGCTACTGACCCTGTAGGTAAGTTGCTCAATTTTCACCAAGTGTAAAATGAGGGATAATAATACTTTAAAGCTTTTCAGGGAGGGAGCATTAGATAAGATAATGTACATAAAATTCTTAGCAGGATTCTAAGCCTTCATAAATGTTACAGGCTGTCAGTGGAAGACGGGATTCTAACCCAGTTCTGTCTGACTCCAGAGTTTGTGTTCTTGACTATGATGCTCCTAGTTTTCATCCTTTCATTTATTCGGCAAGTGCTCCTCAGCGTGGGATACTGCGCAAGGCTTGAGGTACAAAGGTGAGCAGGCATAATCCCTGCCTCATGGGGCTTAACATTCACTTATGCATTTGAATGCAGGATCCTCTAGTTCACACTTGATTAATTCTCAAGCCTAAAAAAGAAAAAAGACAAAGCCCAAACATTGCAGTGGGTCAGCTACATACATTTGAGGAAGAAAATGGAGGGCTGTGCTAATGCTTCCCTACTGTTACTGGCAGGGAGAGTTTGTTAACAAGGTTGCTTGCTAGGACCCCTGACTAGAGAAGTTCTGGCCATGGGGTTATGTGGGTTGTATTGTGCACAGACAGATCAGCCCTCCCGTGGGAACAATGCAGAGAAGTGATGAAACAGCAATAAGTTATGAATAAAAGAAAAAGTGTTGTGAAGTGGTGGGCTTGTTCCTTTGCTATATAGCAATAAGTTTGGCCCACCCTTCTCATGTGATGTCAGGAGTATCCCTTACTCAGTGGAACTTTTCATGGTTGCAAACTGCTTTAAGCAAAAATGGGATAATGCATGTTGAAGATCAGGTTCTCTCTCAGGTGCCAAGTGCAGGAAATGCAGTCATGGTTCACAGAAGAGTAGGCGGAGCCATGAACTATGAACCAGCAAGTCCTAACTACCCAGGGCAGCTTGGGTGTTAGTTCTTTTCTCTGGCGCTTGAGGGCCTCCATCTTTGCTTCTCTGCTCGTGCCCTTTATTTCTCCCCCGCTCTCCGTTCCGTCCAGCTTTTTCTGCTTTTCCATGCAGGTGGCTCAAAATGGCGCCCTCCCCCACAGTGGCCACCTCAGCCTCAGTCTGAGATCAGCAAACACTTGACCAACATTTAGAATCTCCTTTTCATCAGCCTTGGTTGGGGAGGTAAAGGGGCATGTGAAATCATAGATCATAACTATGCTTGTCTGGACCCCTGAGAAGTGCAGTGCTTAAAGCATGGGGCTTGAGGACTAGATCCAGAAACGGTGTCTGTAATTACAAATCTGAAAAATCTGTCTGAGCTATTTTAGGGGGAGGAGGCACTGAGTTTG